GATGAGCACGAGTTCTTCCAAAAAGAGACAAAAAATAATAGAAGGAAAAAAGAAACATTTATCTTTTATAAAAACAGAAAAACTTTCCTCCTTTTTAATCTTTAACCTTCACTCACAAATCACAATCCCTCTGAGGGCCTTCTTCTCCATCTCCTTCTCTTATTCTTTCAAGAAAGCAAAGAAACACCTTTTTTATTATTTCTTAAGAGAAATCCAAATCAAAAGGATTAGGGTTTTCGTGAGCTCATATTATAATGGGTAGGTGTGGAAGAAGCAGCGACGGAGGAATTGGTGGAGTTAGACCGTACGTACGGTCTCCGGTGCCTCGTCTGAGATGGACGCCGGAGCTTCACCGGAGCTTTGTTCACGCCGTTGAGTTGCTCGGTGGTCAATACAGTCAGTCTTTTTAACCAACTTTCAATTTTTTCTTCCATATATCTTAAAGTTAATTTTTCGTTGGTTTTATTTAGAAACTTTTGAATTTCTGCAATAAACATCCATATTCATTATCGTCATATTCAAGATTTAAATGTCTAGTATTTTTGGGTTTGAATGAAGCAGAAGCAACTCCAAAACTTGTTCTCAAGATAATGGATGTGAAGGGACTAACCATTTCACACGTCAAGAGCCATCTCCAGGTCAAAGAAAATGATTAAACCATTTCATTTCCTCTTTTATAATATTTATTATTGTCGTGAACTATTTGTTCTTATATAAAGTGACAATATCTTCAGCTTATAATTAACATTTTTTATTGTTTTGATTTTACTGCAGATGTATAGAGGATCCAGACCCTCTTATCTTGGGAAACTTGGTAATGAACTTTCCTTTTTTTTTTTTTTGGTTTTATGAGAAGATATTAAATTACACTTAATAACGTCATAATTTCAAGATTAAGACAGTTCATTTCAAATTCTCACCATTCACATAAAAAAACTGTAATGCACACATTTAAAGTCTCACTAGACCATTGTCATATTTCTGGTGAAATATTTATTAAACAAGGAAAAAGAATTTGGATATAGACTTGTAGGTAAATAGGTGCTTCTTTAATTTAATGAGAAGCAAAGAAAAAACAAAATGGTGAAGAGAATATTATTCATCATGGTCATTAAATTAATAAATATTTCTTATTTTTGGGGGACAGAAGAGAGTTCTTCATCATCTTC